AGCCAATATTATTTCTAGTTTGTAGGTTTAAGGAACAACAAAACACAGGTTCAGAAAGGTGAAATTAGTAGTTAAAGGTCTTGGAGCTCATAAATAACTAAGCTTAAATACAAACCCAGTTCTATCTTAATATCGAAGTCCCCAGCAGTTAATTCTTGGAACTCTTTTCTATCTGTTCTTTTTAAAAAATATATATTTTTTTATTGATTATTTAGAGCACATGTGTCAAACACAAGGCCCGCGGGCCAAATCCGTCCTGCCAGGCCTTGCAATGTGGCCCGCACCGTGCTGTCATCACTGCACTCCGCTGCGTTTCCATCACAATGACAGTTTATGACTGTTCAGTAAACCATTCGGCCCGCGATTTAGGCTGGATTTTAGATTTTGGCCCCTTCTCTGATTGAGTTCGACACCCCTAATTTAGAGAGCTAGAGAAAGGGAGATAAATAGAAACACTGATGTGAGACATCAACAGGCTACCTCCTGCACACTCTTTTTGAGGATCGAGTCCGCAACCGGAGCATGTGCCCTGACCAGGAATCAAACCAGTGACCTTTTGGTTCATGGGTTGAAACTCAACCACTGAGCCACATCGGCTAGGCTCTTTTCTACCTATTCTCACCCTAGCCTCATGGCTCTAAATAATATGCCTGCAATGATGACCTCCAATTTTGTGTCTCCAGCCTGAACCTCTGCACTGAATTCCAACAAATATGCCAACTAATAGCTCCATATCTCTATTGAGATATCTAATAGGCATCCTAAACTTTTAATATGCAAAACCATATTTATCTTTCCCCAAAAACCTGCTCTTCTTATCTCTCCTTTGTCACAGTTTATTGCAACTCCGTTTTCTCAGGCCAAAAACATTAGTCATTTTGAAAGCTCTTTCTTTTACGTGCCACATACAATCCATTAGCAAAGTACTGTTGGCTCTGCCTTCAAAATATATACAGAATCCAACTTCTTCCTACCATTTTACCATTACAACTCTGGTCCAAGTTATTGTCATCTCTCACTTGGATATATAATTGCCTTGATCTTATTAACATGCCTGGCTCCAGTCTGTTCTCAACATTATCATTTTTAATCCATTTCTTAAAAATATATTTTTTTATAGATTTCAGAGAGGAAGGGGGAGAGAGAGATAGAAACATCAATGATGAGAGAGAACCAGTGATTGGCTACCTCCTGCATGCCCCCCACTGGGGACTGAGCTCACAACCTGGGCATGTGCCCTTGACCAGAATCAAGCCTGGGACCCTTCAGTCCCCAGACCGAAGCTATATCTTTTCCTTAGATATCTGAACCAAACCACCCAGGTCTTTAATCCATTTTAAAGGATTATTTGATAATCCTTTAAAAATAACAGTCAGTACATTTCTCATTTTAGAACCCTCTCTCAGAGTCAAAGTCACCTAAAGGCCCTATACTACCTGCACCCCCTCCCAGACCATTTCCTCTCAGATTTCATCTTATAATAATCTTCTTTGGGAATTTTTGTCTGTTTTGTTTACTGAGCTATTCCTAGCATATCTTAGTAATAATGCTTGGCATATAGTAAGGTGGTTAATAAATATTTGTTGAATGAGTGAGAATTATCTAACTCTAAAGTATATCCTTTTCACAATTTCCTTCTACACATATATTGGTGGCTCTGAATTAAGTTTGGTTGGCTGGACTCTCTTCAAAGTGGCTCGTATATCAAAGTTTCACTTTTGGACCAACAGACGAGACATTTGGCCTCCTGGGGTTTTAGTGGCTCTCATTCCTTTAAGCATGAGTTGGCCCAGGGTACACCCTGATTCTTATACAGTAGTTACAAAATGGACAAATAAGGGTATGTTGCAGGAAGAATAAGCCAGAAAAGCAGCACTGCTTCTAGTTTGTTACTTCTGGATTTTTAAAAATTAAATAAAAATACATTCCAATAAGAGCCAAGTTAAAATTTTCACATGGACATGTAATATTCATTATTACTCAACAATCTAGATGACATTCTGTAACAATTGCTTAATTTCTGGAAAAAAATATTTCTAAACAACTTAACTATGCCAATAGCTTTTGTACAGGCCTCTCTTTTGGTCACACAACACTGAGGGGATAAGGTGGGAGTGGCTACAAACAAGGCTGGCTTTAGACTAGAGCGAGCTCTCTAGAGGCTATCAAATGTTAGTTAAATAAATTACGATCCTCTTATGTGATGGAATACCTTACTATTAGGCGGACACTTAAAAGCATGTGATATGTAGTATAATGTTTAAATTAAAGAGTAGATAAAAATAAGCATATATAATTTGATACAAATTTTTGTGGCAGTTTATTTTTTTGAGATGTTATCTCCTACTGCCTTCTGATCTCCTATTGGCAGCCTCCATCAGCTGAGCTTAACCAGAAGCCAGAGAGGAAGGGACATTGCTGCTATAATCCATAAAGAGTGAAGTAGATACATAGAGGTAACAGAATATCTACCATGGTGACATTAAAGTGCAAGCAATTCTACAATTTTACTGTCAATATTTTCAAATTTAAAAATTCTACTAGAAGAGTACTAAAAACACCAAGTTTTAGATATCAATCTTTGGTACTTTGCAATTTAGGGGTAAAAATATTCATTATACAGTATTTTTATAATACTGGAGACTTGGAAATAATCTAATTGCCACCCATAATTAATTTATTAGATTTCTACACAAGGGAATAATATGCAACTGTTGAAAACAATACAGATCATTACTTATATATAAGAAAAGATGGCCGCCCTAGCCAGTTTGGCTCAGTGGATAGAGCATCACTCTGTGGACTGAAAGGTCCTGGGTTTGATTCAGGTCAAGGGCACATGCCCCCAGTAGGGGGAGTGCAGAAGGCAGCCGATGAATGATTCTCTCTCATCATTGATGTTTCTATCTCTCTCTCCCTTTTCCTTCCTCTCTGAAATCGATAAAAATATATTTAAAAACAAACAAACAAAAAAAGAATGCACAATTTCCAAAAAAGAAAAGATGGCCATACTTTTTTAAGTGTACTATTCATTCAGTAATACTCAGTAAGCAGTTAGTATGTGCCAGGCATTGTGCTAGGTGCTGGAGAAACAAAAGAGAAAAATCTGTTAATTTAAATCTGTTATTTTAATCCACTAAATTAACAGTGATTTTTAAAAAATGACAACTAATATTGTCGAATTTAAGGAGGAGGACACTCATACTATTGTTTGGAGTAAATTGGTAAAACATTTCTGGAGGGCAATGAGCACTTTTTATCAAAAGCCTTAGAAATACCCATTTCATTTGACTCTGCAATTCCATTTTTATGAATTTACTAGAGGCCCAATGCACAAAATTCATGCAAAAGTAGGTTTTCCTTCCCCTGGCTGCCAGCATTTGCTTCCCTCTGGCATCCAGGACCCAGGCTTCCCATAAAGGGAGGTCCTGCCCACACACCGCAGCCCATTGGTCAGTGGCCTGGGCCTCTTTCTGCAGGTTGATCATGGGGCGATAGCCAGGCCCCCAATCAATTGCATTGCACCCACCTTGGCTGGCCTGGTGCCAATGGATGTCATAGCGTGGTCCCAGATGGTCATCCAGATGGTCGTCCAGGTGGCTGGCCATTCTGCTGTTCAGTCGATTTGCATATCAAGCTTTTATTATATAGGATTCTAAAGAAGGGAACAGAGATGTACAGGAAAAAATACATCAAGCAGCTCATAAATACATGGCTTGGGAAAAGGAGTACTTAAATATTAAATAGGGACTTCAGTAAATAAAATATATGGACATAAGGTGGAATACCAGGAAGCTCTGTTTAACCTGAAAAATTTTTTAACACGGAAAAATGTCCAAAATATATGTGAAAGGTTTAAGAAAGAGTGATACTCAATTGTCCCAAACTTGAATAAATCACTTAAGTGATCTGAGTGTTACTTCGTCTTCAAAGCTCACATCCTAAGGATCCTTTCCTTTTTAAAAGTATATTTTTATTGATTTCAGAGAGGAAGGGAGAGAGAGGAAGAAACATCAATGACGAGAGAGAATCATTAATCAGCTGCCTCCTGCACACCCCACACTGGGGATCTACTGGGAATATGAACCATGACCTCCTGGTTCATAGGTGGATACTCAACCACTGAGCTATACCAGCCAGACCTCCTCCTTAAGGATCCTTTCAACTCTTACCTGAGTCCAGGTACTCATCCTTTCTTCAATATAAAGAAAATAAGTCATCCTGGGCAGTCGGCAGATATTAGGTTGGCTACTGCTTGCAGTGTCCTCAACTATTTAATCTCAGGGACGTATTAATGCTTTCAAAGAGAAAATACATATCTCTGAAGAAAGTGTCCCATTTTTTTTCTCAGTGACCTAGTCAATCAGGAACCAGGCTTGGTTTGGGGGCGGGGGAAGGGCGTGGGACGCACAGAAAGACATTAATGCCCTCAAAAAGTTCAGTCTGGTGGGAGGAAACCAATAATAATGACGATGACCAATGATGACAGGCCTTGACAGATGAGTTCTTTTGGATTCCCACGTGCAAAGAAAAGCATGTACATCGACAACATGCTCCAGTCAGCGTATTACGGTTGAACCAGAAGACGGGCCATTATTTTGTGGCCTTTCTCATGGCAATCTGCTTTTTCTCCCAGTCACACAACCCACCACCTCTCTGTGGATGGTAAATGGGAGAGGCTGAGCTGCACACTCCATCACCCGAGTAGCGGCAGCGGTCTTCTCAAGCGATGTCAGGGGCATCCGGCAGGGCCAGTGAGAAACTGGAGGACATCTGCAAGCACACAGGTAAATCGCGAGGATGGAGGAAGCGCAACTTGGTACTGGCCGGCCAGCAGCTCTGCGGGGCCGTGGACACTCTGGCCCCGGGATTTCCCGCCAATCTCGGTGCCACCTTCCCCGAGGCCCCGCCCACCCCCGGACGTCAGCGCTCCAAAGGCGGGGAAGCGGTGGGAGCCTATCGATGTCTCTGGGATAGATTGCTCTGCCCTGCGCCTCTGCCGTCAAAGTGACGCAGGCTTCCCAGTAGATCGCCGAGCGGTAGTTTCGGCGGCGCTCCTAGATCGATCGGCAGCTTTGCAGGAGGAGCGCACAGCCAGCCCCGCGTCGGAACCATGGTGCGTTGGATTCCAAGCCCAGGCAGGGTTGGGGCAGAGGTCCGCTAACTGGCCGGGTGGCGAGCTGCGTCTCCAGCCAATCCTTAGAGGGGCCGAGGGCCGCGGGGCACGGGAACCAGAGACGACGCGAGGGTTCGGGCAGTGATTCAGCATCTCCGGCCTGGCCGGGAGAGGGGCGGGCGGGAGTCGGGGCGGCCTTTCTCCAGGGTTTGTTTGTTTCACTTTCTGCCGGGCCTCAGACACGACTTCCTCCGTGAACTGGCCTAGTTCGCCCTCCAAGTTCTCTCAGTGGAGTAGATACTTAGCTGTACTGAGTGGTCCCCTCGTGCTCTGCGTGGGGGGTTGGAGGGGTGGGAGGAGAAAATAGGGATTTGCGTTGGAGGCTTCCTGGTACTGCCCTTGCGGACTTGACTCCAGGGTTTGGGTTCCGGTACCGCGTGCACTTTCCTGCTGTGTCCTATCTAATGGCCCTGTCCCCTAGAACTCCAGGAGAAAAGGCCATTTTCAGTCACATTGTCCAGTCACCTAGTTTTCAGATGAGTAAACCAAGGCTGAGAGGAGATATGATGTGATCAGGATTACAACATGGGACTCGGGGCTTCCAGTACTCAATCTGTTCACCCCATGATTATTCTCTCAAGGACTGTTCCGGTAGACTTCTTTTAATACCATCATTAAAGCAGTAATGGTTCTGTCGCGGTAGCTATTTGTGTCCACTTCTACCTTTCTGAGGACATTTTTGTGTTTATTCATTCAATATGAATGTCTATACCTACAAGGCACTATTTTAAGTATGCTGAGCATTCAAAGATAAAATAGACATGCCCCTAATCATAATATAAGGAAGAGAGGATGTGAGGTAAAGAACTGGTGGGAGTATGTGTTGGGGAAATGTTGAAAGAAAAGATGGAGAAATTTCAAGAGATAGACATTTGAGCTAAATTTTCAAAAAGGAATGCTTTTGATTATTTATTAAAGCTGGTATAAGGGAAGAACATAAGCAAAGATATGAGGGAAAGTTGACACACATGAACTTGGGTAATTGACTGAACCCAAAAGGAGTGCCGTGATCTTTGGTAGGATTGGAAGTTGGGAAGATAGGTCCCATCTAGATCTGCTTCCTCCCTCCCCCACTAACTCATGGTATATGTAGAATTGGCTTGCAACTAAGTACATACAGTAGTAATCTTACAGTAAGATTGTATTAACAACGTTGTATTAAGGTTGAATGGGAACAGATGGGAAAACTTTTTTAAAAATTTATTTTTTATTGATTTCAGAGATTAAGGGAGAGAGAGATAGAAACATCAAGGTTGAGAGAGAATCACTGATCAGCTGCCTCCTGCATGCCCCACACTGGGAGTAGAGCCTGCAATCCAGGCATGTGCTTGACTGGCAATCAAACCATGACCTTCTGGTTCATGGGTCAGTGCTCAACCACTGAGCCACATCAGCTGGACAGGAAGACATTTTTTTCTTTACTAATAGAGCCAGTTAAGAGTTGGGATTTGTAATGTTCTTTTATTAATAGGTCTATTTTCTTTTACTTTCAGTTTCGCAACCAGTATGACAATGATGTCACTGTTTGGAGCCCTCAGGTAAATGTTTTATGTAATTTTTATGAAGTGGCTTTTGGTGGCTGCAGTATGTTTAGAAACTCATGATATTGTAGGCTGTGAGAAAATGGGATAGAATCACTTTGGACATTCCTGGGCCTTACATTTATCATTCAAGTAAGTTTTCTGGTTTAAAAATAATCATTTGAGATTTCACTATGCTCACCCGAGATTTGGGAACTCTAATTTTAAATTTATGAAAGTCTTGTAAGATGACTCTAAGATATCTTGTTATTTTTTTTTTTCTTTAGGGCAGGATTCATCAAATTGAATATGCAATGGAAGCTGTCAAACAAGGTTCAGCCACAGTTGGTCTGAAATCAAAAACCCATGCAGTATTGGTTGCATTGAAGGTAAGTAAATAAAGCAATAAGTGTATCTTCCTCGTTTAGAAAAACAGAACTATCAAGCATAAGTTTCACTGTACAGGTAATAAAATTTTAAAATTATTTGTATGTTTTATAATGTCTGTATTTAGAGAGCACAGTCAGAGCTTGCCGCTCATCAGAAAAAAATTCTCCATGTTGACAACCATATTGGTATTTCAATTGCGGGACTTACTGCTGATGCTAGACTGCTATGGTGAGTATGATCATGAAAAACAAGCAACATCTCTTTTGATTTATCATTGATTTCATTTCTAGAGAAGAACCAGTTAATATATGTTAGAGAGTTCTCTACCAGAGTATTTCTAAGTTAAGGTTGTGAATACCTTAGTGCAGTGTTTTTCAACCTTTTTTGGGCAAAGGCACACTTGTTTCATGAAAAAAATCACGAGGCACACCACCATTAGAAAATGTTAAAAAATTTAACTCTGTGCCTATATTGACTATATATAAAGTAATTCTCTTGAATAGGAATCAAATAAACACAAAGAAAGTATTTTATAATTACTTTATTATGAAATATTAAGTAAACAAAATAGTGAAAAATTATAAAATTCTTGTCTTGTCTGCACCTACGGCACACCAGGCAACATCTTGAAAAACGCTGCCTTAGTGGATTTGGGCTCAGTTATTAAGTATCCCATTTCTTGATTCCTATAATAGTAACAAATAGAATTAAGCATATTAGCACATTTGAGAAATCCCTGAATAATGTGAAACTTAGTAACTCAGTGTGTATTGTTTGAGATGATATTTTGTTTAAAAAGAGCTTGACAACTTTTGCCTGATTTCTGAGAAACAGCTGAACTACCCTTTCTTTAATACACCAGAATTTTAGTTTTTGAAAAACTTAATTCTGGATACTGCATAGTATGTACAGGTGAATCAGATATAGATCTTGTATACTAGGAAGTGCAAATCTAGTAATATATCTATAATGGAAGGTAAAAAGTGGAGAGTAATAGATGTTTGTGTGAGTTCAAAGGAAATGAAGATTATTTCTATTAATAGTTGAAAGGCATTATGTAAATGAAGAGCTAGGGCTTTGAAATCACACAGAATGAGTTTACTTCCCACCTATATTCTTAGTATCTGAGATTGGGCTTGTTGTTTAAACTCTTAATTTTTTTTAGTATTATTTTATTCAAGGTTATTGTTAAGTAGCCTAATATGTAGAGCACTTAACAGTAGCTGCAGCTAATATGTGAGTGTGTGTATTGGATTATGGGAGTAATAAGCCAAAACTAATATGTTTTTGGTATGTGACTTAAATAGGGAAGAAAGAATATAGCTACTAAGGGGAAATAGTAATGCTAACGTTTAAGATTTGTAAGTTATCCAGCAAACTCCTGTTCTTTTGAATCAGCAGTATAGTGACAACACTATTGATTTATGGCAGTTCTTGAAAATGTAAAATATATTTCACTGTCAAACATTTTATTTAAACCAATCTGTTTAAAATGTCATGTCAACATGTAATCAATATAAAAACTACTGAAATATTTTACATTGTTTTTATACTAAGACTTTTAAATTTCATGTATATTTGGTACTTATGATACATTTCAATTTAGACCAACTATTTTTTAAATGCTCAGTAGTCACATGTGATTAGTACATGCAATATTGGGGCAATGCAGTCTGAGACAGCCTTGGGAAATGGACTTAAATAAAGTACCGAGCAAAGAGCTTGGTTTCTGCAGTTAGCATTTAATCATCAGATGTGACATGTACACAAATTGGACAAAGCAATACAGAAAGAAAGGCAGATATCTGTTGTTTATCCTCTTGGCTTGAATAGTTAGGCATGAATTCCCTTTTCCCCAATGTCAGACTTACTTGAATCTTGTCAGGTTTAGCGATGAGATTCAATAGTCAGGAACAAGTAACAGTGTCTTAGTATAGATTCTATGTTTTGCAATTGCTCTATTGGGGAAATTTTAGTTTTCACGAAAAAAACAGTAAACTTGTTCCTGGCTAAAGACAGAATTCAAAATAATCTTTTTGACAGTGGGAAAGATAAGAGAGAATGTTCTTTTTCTCTTGTTCAGCCTTCTCTCTATTCTATAAAGTACTCTGAAACAAAGGTTCTTTAAAGGAATATTTTAGTTGTGCAAGGGTTTTTGTTGTTGTTGTTTTTAAACTTCACGTGCTTCCCTACCCCCAGAGTTTGGTATAAAAACGCATCCTTCCATGTCTTTCTGGTTCACTTATATGAATGTAATCCATGTGAGTGTTTGGAAGAAAGCAAAATGAAATCAAACTACTTAATTTAGATTTGAATAACTCTGTGATTTGAAATTACTAATTTTTCTTGTTTCTTTTTTAGTAATTTTATGCGCCAGGAGTGTTTGGATTCCAGATTTGTATTTGACAGACCTCTTCCTGTGTCTCGTCTTGTAGCTCTAATTGGAAGCAGTATCCTTTTTATGTTACAATTTTGGACCTGAATTTTAAAGAATTTTGATACTTAATCCTTTATGTTAGTTATTAGAAATATTATAGTGTATAACATAGGTAATATTGCAGGAAAAGGTTAGTTACTTTTCAATAACAATGTTTAAAATTTAGAAAGAGAACTAGGGGAACTTTTACTATGGAAGAGTGGGTTCTAAAATATGGAATTGGTTTGCTCTATCATTAGCCCTTATAAGCAATTGATATTTTGCAGACATAGTTAAGGTCAGTTTCAGTAAAACTAACCAAAATGAGATTTAAACTTTTTTTTTTTCCTCAGTTCTGTATGTCCTAAAAATATTCTTTACTGCTTATATCCAAAACAAATGAAGTTCTCTTTATGAGAAGAAAATATTTTATTAATAGTTGAATATTTTTTGGTGGATTGTTGAGCATTTTTTTAATAGTAGGCCAAAGAAATATTGTTCTGTTGTTTTATTTTCTTCTTCCTATGATAGATTATGCAGAAATTAAAAAATCAAAAGTTCTTTGTTAATAATGTTTAATTTGAAAAGAAAGATAGTATTTTATTTCTTGTTAGAACAGGCTCTTTAACTAGCTTAAGAGACCCAGATACCAACACAAAGATATGGCCGAAGACCATATGGTGTTGGACTGCTTATTGCTGGTTATGATGTAAGTTCACGGAGTATTTTTTACATTTTAATGATTTTTAAAAAACTGACTAGAAATTGTCTAATTTTTAGCTCAATCAAAATCAAGAATTATGTGGTGTTTCTCCCCCCTTGCCCCCATTTGTAGGATATGGGCCCTCATATTTTCCAAACCTGTCCGTCAGCTAACTATTTTGACTGCAGAGCTATGTCCATTGGAGCCCGTTCTCAATCAGCTCGTACTTACTTGGAGAGACATATGTCTGAGTTTATGGATTGTAAGTGATTTTTATTTGCCCCCTCCAGTCTTTATATAATGAATTAGCACAGCTTCCTAAATGAAGAAAACTACCAGTCTTACAGTAAGAATTTTTTAAAAAATTAAGCCGGTGAAGTGTTTATTCTTTCTGTTATACATGCTAGCTGTTAGCCCTTCTAACTACCGCAGTAGTTACATTCACTAATAGGACTTTTTCAAATTACAAATATGTGTCCCCAAACTTGAAGACTTGATTCAGTTGTTCTGAAGTGTGCCCCCTACAGTTGAGAAACACTGTTTGCAGCTGTTACCTTTTTAGGCTCTGTTCTTACTTTTAGCCACACAGATATTTCTGCATAAACAAGTAAAAACTCAGTGTAATTGTAGCAAAGAAAGGTAAAAGATATGAGATGGCCCTAGGGTCCTGGGTTCAGTTCCATTCAGGGGCACGTCCTGGATTGTGGGCTCAATCCCCATGCAGGAGACAGCTGTTCAATGATTCTCTCTCATCATTGATGTTTCTCTCTCTCTCCCTCTCTCTTTCTCTCTGAAATAAATAAAAATATATTTTTAAAAAATATGAGATGATAGGGTAGGTTTTCAAGTGCTTTGCTTATTGTCTTGAATCTTAACACATGGTTTTTAAATTATTTATTGAGGTGATCATGTGGGTTTCCCCTTTCATTCTATTGTGCTATATTGCATTAGTTGACTGAATGTTAAACCATCTTTGCATTTCTAGGAGAAATCCCTCTTGGTCATAGTGTATAATATAAATTATATGTATAAGTGCTTATATAAACATATAAATGTTTCTAGATTCAATTTACTGTGTTTTGTTGATTTTTTTTGTGTCTATATTCATGACAAATTGACCTATAGTTTTATTCTCTTGTGATGTCTCTGTCTAGTTTTGCTACAAGCCTTTGAGCTTTACATTTGTGAATCAGGATTTTGATTTAGCTTAGCATAAAGAAAAGTCAAATTCAGTAAAAACCATATCTCATTAAATAAAGCAATCAGCAATGTTATCATGACTAGAAGATTATAAGGCTAAACATTAAACTTTTGGCTGTTTTTATTGTGATATATTTAATGTGACTAAGATGGAATTAAGAAATAATTGTTTGTTTATTATATATAGGCAATTTGAATGAACTGGTTAAGCATGGCCTGCGTGCTTTAAGAGAGACACTTCCTGCAGAACAAGACCTAACGACAAAGGTAAATGCCATGTTTTCCAATTGTAGATATTAACATTACACTTTAATCATTAATTGCACAGGAAATTTGGGCATGGATATGGTCCCTAGGCCTGGCCTGCGATCAGGGGCATCTCTGGCCGCTGGCAGCTGGCCCAGCCACCACCCACCCTCAGTTCCCTGTTCGCCATTGGGTGATCAGAACCTGCGGGCTGTGGGGAAGGACTGAGAAGTTGGTCGTTCCCACCCCAGCCATGGGTCGCCCTCTGTGTGTGGGGTGAATGGCATGTCAGGGGCCTTGGTCTGGTGCCACCCATGTCCTCGCCACCCACCCCTAGTTCCCTGTTCACCATCGGGCGATGGGGGCCTGCGGGCTGAGGAAAGGGACCAAGAAGTGGTCAGTGCGCCTCATAGTAACTTGTCATGCAGTTGTTCTGGACTTTCCGCCATTTTGGTCAATTTTATTATATAGGATAATAAAACATCTTTGCTTTTATGGCACCTATATCCAAGTGGCGGGAGATAGACAGTGTACCCATAAGTAAGTTATGTAGTATATAGATGATAACATTGTAGAAACAGTGAAACCGTGTAAGAGGAGAAAAAATAACCAATTGGGTGTAGGTAGGCAGTATAGTGGATATAATTTAAAATAGGTGTCAAGGATGGCCTCATTCAGAAAGTGGAATGTGCCCTGCTCAGGGCACATATAAGAGTCAACCAATGCATGAATAAGTGGAACAACAAATCTCTAAAAATCAATTTTAAAAGAAAGAAAGAGCCAAGCTGGTGTTGCTCAGTGGTTGAATGTCAACCTATGAACCAGGAGGTCACGGTTCAATTTCTGGTCAGGGCACATGCAAGTGGAACTTGAGGAAGATATCTAAAGGGAGTGAGTGAGTGAGCCATACAGATGACTAGAGCACGCTTATTCCAGGGAATGCAAGTATAAGGGCCTTGGGTCCAGAATGTTTCTAGTATTAAAGACAAGGAGGCTGATAGTGTTGGAGTTAGTGATCAAGAAAAAGTGAAGAAAGGAAGTTAGAGAGGTAATGGATTGACTATGTCTTATGATAAGTACTTTGGATTTTACTATGAGTGGGCTGTTAGAGTTTGAGCAGAGGAACACCACGATTTGATTTAGGTTTTAAAAGATTGGCTGCTATTTTGAGAACAGATTCTAGTGGGAGCATGGGTAGGAATAGTTTTAAGACTGTTACAGTAATTCAGGTGAGAGATTGTTGCAGATTAGGCAGAGTCATAGAGTTTGGTTACTTTGTATTTTTTTAAAACCTATCGATTTTTTTTTTTTTTTTTTTTTAAGAGAGGGAAAGATAGAAACATCGATGAAAGAGAAACATTGATTGACTGCCTCCTGCATTCCCCCTACTGGGGATCAAGCCCACAAACCCAGGCATGAGCCCTGATGTGGAATTGAACCAGTGACCTCTTGGTGCATGGGATGATGCTCAACCAAATGAGCCATACGAGCCAGACCTTTTTTTTTTAAAAATATATTTTATTGATTTTTTGCAGAGAGAAAGAGAGGGATAGAGAGTTAGAAACATCGATGATAGAGAATCATCAATCAGCTGCCTCTTGCACACCCCCTACTGGGGATGTGCCCACAACCAAGGTACATGCCCTTGGTCGGAATTGAACCCGGGACCTTTCAGTCCGCAGGCCTATGCTCTATCCACTGAGCCAAATCAGTTCGGCTATTTTGTTTTTTTGACATGGGGGAAATTATAGCATGTCTGCTGCATGAGAATAATTCAGTATAAAAGGAACCATATATATGGGAAATTTGAGAAAACCTGCTAAACCAATTTCTTTGAATAGTATACAGGTGGTAAGATAGATCTTAGAGAAGAAATTGGATGATTCATTCACAGTAACAGGAAGGGAGAGAATGTAAGGACACAGATACAGGAAAGAGTGGATTCTGTGGGAGTTTGTGAATGTTCCCTTCTTAATTGGCTTTTATTTTCTCAGTGAAATAGCAAGGTTTCCATCTGTAAGGAGAATGGGGGATTGGATGATTTAGGGACCTTTACAGCACAAAACAGAAACCAGTAAAGGCCTCCTGGAAGTTAATGATTATTTATTAAAGTGAGATCAGTCATGCCTTAACTGGTTTGGCTCAGTGAATAGAGCGTCAGCCTGCAGACTGAAGAGTCCCAGGTTCAATTCCGGTCAAGGGCACGTACCTTGGTTGCGGGCACATCCCCAGTGGGGGGTGTGCAAGAGGCAGCTGATGGATGATTCTTTCCCATCGATGTTTCTAACTTTCTATCCTTCTCTCTCTTCCTCTCTGTAAAAAAAAAATCAATAAAATATATATAAAAAAATAAAGTGAGATCAGTCAGGATATTATAAATCCATTTTGTTACAGTGGTTAGATAATTAGTATGTATATGAAAACTTTATAGCTGGCATAATTTTTTCTAAAATAAATTTTCCTGTTATAAAAATAATACTCTTTTTTAAACAAATTAGGAGCCCTGGCAGTGTGGCTCGGTTGGAGCATCATATTGTACATGCACTGGAAGGTTCCGGGTTTCATTCCTGTTCCGGGCACATACCCGGGTTGCAGGTTCAATACCGGTCAGCGTGCATGCGAGAGGCGGGCCAATCAATGTATCTCTCTCACGCAGATGTTTCTCTCCCTTTTTTTATTTTCTCTCTTTTCCTCTCTTCCCCCTTCCTTCTTTTAAAAATAAAAAAAATAGAGAAGTACATTAAATTTTAAAACTTTGTTTAAATTGCTATAATGCCATCATTCCAAGATAACTATCTTTTAAAAGTTGGGTGTAGACCGGACATTTACAGTTTGGAAATGTTAGCTCAGGTATCTGGCTTCCTGATTTCATATTTTTACTGAACCATAGAAAATGGCCTTTTTATCCATATGCCTACAATTTTCACTAAAAATTTAATTTGCAGGAGTTATTTTGCAGTGGTTAGCATTCACTGAACATTTTAAGCATTGCTCTCTAATTTTTCCATGTAGAAAATAGTTGCAAGCCCCCACTTTATTTAGCTTTTTAGATCCCAAAAGAGTTAGGCTTACTTCCTAGCTAAGTGGTTTGTTCCCTCACACTTGTTAGCAGCATATTTCTATTAATAGCCAATGTGCAAATTTTGGGGTTATTCATAAAAGTGAGTATTTAAATTGCAAATCACAAGGGCTTACTAGTTAAGTTTTATTCAAGTACTATATAAAACTTTATTCCCAATATCTATAATAATAAAAGTTTAATATAGTAATTAGACCGTAGTCCTTCCTTACGAAGCCGGCGGAGGGAAGCCAGCCCATGTTGCGGGTGCCTGTGGGCAGCTGGAGGGAAGCCTGGGTCCCAAGTGCCAGAGGGAAGCCGATAACCACAGCCGGGGGAAGGAAGGCCTACTCTTGCACGAATTTTTGTGCATCACACCTCTAGTTTTATCAAAAGCATTTTTCAACCTAAATTCTCTTGATTTTTAAATTTTTACCTTTTCCTCTTCTCAGAATGTGTCCATTGGAATTGTTGGTAAAGACTTGGAGTTTACGATTTATGATGATGATGATGTGTCTCCATTCCTGGAAGGCCTTGAAGAAAGACCACAGAGAAAGTCACAGGTATATAACTAATTTTGACACAAGAGGCTTTAGTTTGATAGTTAACTTGTTCCTTCTACAACTGTGTAAATCTACCATTTTTGTCTTTAACTATTGAGATAAGCTCATAATTCAAATGGCTAGGAAAACTAAGCTGAGTAAAGTAAAATACTGAGAGGGAATTGGTCTCCATAAACATAAAAAGGGTTGATTATATATTTTATATTTCTCACAATTCTATGGGTTGCCTGGGACTCAGCTAGATGGTTCTTTTGCTGGTCTCACTTGTGTCTCTAACACATTGCAGTCAGTCCAAGATGGTTTTACTCACATGTCTTTACTCACACTTTCTAGGTATCTTACAGAGACAACTAGGAGGCTGGGCTCTCTGCTGGAATGGCTGGGCCTCTGCCCATGCAGTCTTGGGGCCTTTCTTTCCCAAGGGTCTCCTCAGCAGGGTGGCAGCTCAGAGTTTACAAAAATTTAAAAGCTTAAAAATGAAAGCTGTTAGGCATTCTTAAGACTGAGGCCCAGGACTGGCACAGCATCACTTCAGCACATCTTGTTGACTAAAGCAAGTCATAGGGCCAGCCAGGAGTCCATAGTAGTGGGAACAGAGATTAACTGGGGGCCAGTTTTGGAAACTAAGTTAGTTCTTCACAAATACTGGAGAGGATCAAGACATGTCGATGAATCTCATATTAAATGTTGGACTTCTATATTGGATATTTAGAATGCAAATTTGCTATTTATATATGCTTATTTGCTATTGAAAATAAAGTGTCCTGTTCAGAAATTTCTTCTACAGCATTAGTTTCTTTTCATTTTGAAAAGGATATTGTTGGCATTTGGAGAAGCAAGATTTGCATTATTGAAACTGCTATTGGAAGGCTTTAAATTCTTGAGCAAAATAAAGTATAAAATGCTAGAATTGTTCGATGATGCTTAGGTTTTCAGAACTATGACACAATATATATTTAAAAAAATAACCTTTGTCTAGAAATTTCAATAGGACAATGAACTAAAACTGAAAATATACCTAACCCCTTTTTCTCATAGATTTATTTATAATGTAATATTGCTTATTTTCTTTTTTCTTCCTCTTAAGCCTGCTCAACCTGCTGATGAACCTGCAGAAAAGGCTGATGAACCAATGGAACATTAAATGATAACCCCCAGTCCATATTTGTATTAGCAAATGTGTAAGAATGCAGGAACATGTACTGATGACAGTAATCTATACTTCGACCCAAAAGGTGCAGTCATGGAATGGTATGTTTTAGGAATCAGTCCAGATGTGAGGTTTGGAATTGCAAGCAGCTTCACTGAAACCATATAATGGAATGCATTTTTTTTTTTTTTTGAAAGGGTCTCTATAATCATTTTCTAGAAAGTACATTTGCCTTTACTAATGTTTTTATATAAAGAACATAGTGTCTTTCTGGTTTTAAATACAACTGTGAAATAAAATTGTTTCACCTGCTGATATATTGTTGTTGTTTTTTGTTTTTGTTTTTTTTAACAGTTTCAACTATATAAATATTAGTCTGAGATTACATGTAGTCATTTACCATGTTTGTAAAATAAATTGCCTTATTTTTAGTGGTGGGGGAAAATAATACCTATTATCTATCATAGCCTTAAGCCAATTTCCCAGTGTATGGACTGGCTGCATGAGAATTCATGGAGATTTGGTTTAGAATATTCACAGGTAAGTGGTGTGGTTATTTTTCCAACCAACAGATGGCAGTAGTGATAGCTCTGGTCTCATGTATGGAATTTTTTGCAACTGTAACAAAAGGGAAAATTTAATATGAAACCTTCATTTCTGCTTATCCTCCCTAGCCACATTCTGGCGCATGATCTTTAGTTTGCCTTTCATTATCCTGTGAGCTATATAGCAAGATATAATACTGCAAAACAATTTTTATCTTTTAAGATTCATATCTTTTTGGAGGCAACTTGGACTTTAGACTTAATTTTACTTATTAGCTGCTATTGGCTTTGGACAAGTTATTTAGCCCTAATTAAGAAAATACTTTGGCCCTGAGCAGTTTTTCTCAGTGGTTAGAATGATGGCCCTCAGACCAAAGGGTCACAAGTTCCATTCCTGGTCTAGGATGTATACCTTGGTTGCAGTTCAATTCCCAGCTTAGAAGCAACCAATTGATGTATCTCTCACATCGATGTTTCTCTCTCTGTCTTCCCTCCTGCTCTCTCTAAAAATCAATGGAAAAAATATCCTCAGGTGAGGATTTAAAAAAAAACTTTGGAGAATTATTTTGAAGGTTAAATCAGAGATTTTATCTGAAAATATCTTGTATATTAAACAATTTATTAAATGGTAGTTTAATTTTGTTCTAGGTTGCCCAAAACTTTTTTGTTTTTTTAATATTTTTATTGATTTTAGAGAGGAAGAGAGAGAAACATCAATGACTAGAGGCCAGGTGTACAAAATTCATGCACAGGTGTGGCCCCTAGGCCTGACCCAAAGGTCCCCCTCCACCTGAGTCACAGCACCCATGTTCCCACATGGAGATGCGTTGAGGGTGGCTAGACACTGCAGGCTGAGGCGCATAATTCTACTGCACAGAAGCCGAGTGGGCAGCATGCTCTCTCCCAGACCAGTTCATGCGCGAACCCATGAGGAGCCTGACCAGTCCTGGTGGCAGTGGCTTGGCTCACCCAGAAGAGGCCACACAGGTGTGGGGTAGGCTCCTTGTTGGCGTCCAGCACCTGAACACAGCTTCCCCAGCACACAAGTTCTGGCATCCTGGGGAAGGGTAGCAGGGGGAGGGAGTGAGAGTGAGCTTGGCAGATACCCCACATTCTCACCGAACCTCGCCGACCCCAAGTAGCCGGTGAAAGATCACAGTCCCCCGCCCAGCTCCCTCAGTTCCCTCACTCCTCCAGGACTTGTGTGCTGGAGAAGTCCTTGTGCTCAGGTGCTGGGCGCCCATGAGTTGCTGGGTAGTGGCTATGCCCCCCACCGCCACTGCTGGTCACCATTTGTGAGGTGATGGGTTCACTGCTTGCACCAGCCTTGGCCTGGTGCCACTCGATCTCCTACACCTCCAACCCGCCACAGTCCCACTCGGGGCCCATGGGGACCAGCAGCAGCTATTCCATTTGCTCTCTGTTAATTATAATTCCTAATGTCTTTACATAGAAACTGTCACTTTCTATGTAAACAGATAATATTCAATTCACATGGAATTTATTAAGCATCTATATGTGCATCTTTGAAGAACTGGTGTGGTTAAAAATAAGAGTCAATAAAATTGGTGGCAGGATCCAGGTTCTAGTCCCAGCTTTTGCAGTGTTTGGCCATTTTGCAATTTGGGATAATTCCCTTTTTTCCTAGGCCTTAATTTCCTAGACATGTAAATTTTTATGATTCTTGACATATGACAAGGTCCTTGCGCAAATAAATTATATTTTAAAAAGCATTCAAAATGATGTAATTACATGCTAGAGTAAAAATAAGTCCCCAAACAAAAATGCATGTTACAAGTCAGGAAGAGCCTGGCTGGGTTTGGGTTGAGTGTTGACCCAGGAACCAAGAGGTCACTGGTTTGAGACAGAGGGCACATGCTGGAGTTTTTAGCTTGATTCTGATCAATGATGTTCCTCTCTCATCAATAGTTTTCAGTTTGAAAGGAGACAATATTTTTTAAAAATATACTTTATTGATTTTTTACAGAGAGGAAGGGAGAGGGATAGAGAGTTAGAAACATCAATGATACAGAAACATCGACCAGCTGCCTCTTGCACACCCCCCACTGGGGATGTGCCCACAACCAAGGTACATGCCCTTGACTGGAATCGAACCTGGGACCCTTCAGTCTGCAGGCTGACGCTCTATCCACTGAGCCAAACCAATTTCGGCGAGACAATATTTTACTTGTGTATTCTCTTAATATGTAGTTATGGAATACTGATTTTTGTTCACTTATTAAAGGTTTCTATTGAGGCCTATTTTTAGAGAAGGAAAAAGAAACCCTGTTTTATGGCATTTAAACTGATACCCTAATATATAAAAGCTCTGTGTGTTCATACTTACATAGTAGAATGGGATAAAAATTAATGAATAAACTAATTATTAGACCCCCAAAATACTTAAAGTTATAACTATAAAGGCAAAGAACAAAACCTGTCCTATCTCTATCTTCCTCTTTCTCTAAAATTCAATACAAGCATATTTTTAAAAAATAAATCAGGTAGAATTAGGGTATGGTAAAGTTCTGCTCAACAACCTGTAGTTAAATATATACAACAATAAATATATAAAACTTCCTATGACAATTTTATGTGCAGACCTTAAATAAGGTTTTCTAGAACATTACTTTCTTGGCCTTTTTTCATATTTAATTTTACTTAATTTAGTCCATGGTAAATCTGTAATACAATGGAGTCTCCAGGACAACTGAAGTAGGTATGATTAATATTACATCCTTGATATAACAAAATTATAGAATGAAGAACAGGTTAGTACCGTATTTTTCGGACCATAAGACTCACTTTTTTCCCCCCAGAAGTGGGGGGGAAAAGTCCCTGCGTCTTATGGTCCAAATATAGCCTACACATATACTTTAAAAAAAAAGTTTTTTTACTTGCCTGGCTCTGTGTGGTCTCTGTGTGCTTGCCCGGCTCTAAAATGGTTCTAAATGCTGCTGTTTACAGGGTTGATTACATGTGTTTATGACTGTGATGTTGGGTTTTAATGCACATAAAATATTTTAGGACACTATTTGTTTCAGAATCTTTTTTTCTTCATTTCCCTTCTCTAAAAACTGGTGCGTCTTATGGTCCGGAGCGTCTTATGGTCCGAAAAATACGGTAATTGCCAGGGGTTATACAGGGAAGTAGCTGTGATTATAAAAGGATAGGAATGATTCTTGAAATAGAATTGTACCTTATCTTGATTTGGTGATCACATGAATCTAAACATGGTAACTAAATACATAAATGAGTGCATGTAAAACTGGTGAAACATGCCCTAGCCAGTGTGGCCCAGTGGTTAAAGTGTGGGCTTATGCAACGAAAGGGTTGGACCAGGACATGTGCTGGAGGCAATCAATGTGGTGTTTTGCACCCCTCCCCTTTCTTCCACTCTCTAAAAATCAATGGGGAAAAAATTCCCTCAGGTGAGGATTAACAACAACAAAACTAGTGACCTGTATGGATATCAATTTCCAGGATTTGTTATTTTACTATTATTAGACAAGGTATTATATCACTGGAAGAAACCAGATGGAAAGTACATGGGATTTCTGTATGTCACTCTACAGTGATCTCAAAACAGTTTTTTAAAAAATTAATGCAGCTCTAGCCAGTTTGGCTCCGTGGATAGATCGTCAGCTTGTGGACTGAATGGTCCTGGGTTCGGTTCCGGTCAAGGACATATGCCAGGGTGGCAGGCTCCATCCCCAGTGTGGGGCGTGCAGGAGGCAGCCAATCAATGATTCTCATTGATGTTTCTATCTCTCTACCTTCCTCTCTGAAATCAATAAAAAATATTTTTTTAAAATAATTAAAAATTAATGCACAGGGTTTGAGGAGAAAATACTAAGATAATTTTAAGTGCAGACCTTAAATGGGATTTTTGTGATATATTTTGGGTGCTCAACATTTTTTGCTTGATGGTTCCGAGGAAATATCAAAATTGCGTTCTAGATAGTTGAAGCACTCTACGTTCTAACTTCCAAACTGAGGTTACCTGTCAATAAGGGCAGGTTTTTTCAGACCTCTTTGTATTCACAATATATTGCTTCAGACTTCATTTTTTTTTAAACTTGGTAATTAACCAGAAAACCCTTTTTGAGAGGGGCAAGGATACAGCACTTGCTATGGCTTGCTATAACTGCATAAATGAGGTCTTTGGAGATAGGTAAAAGCCTTTAAAACAATGGCTGTCAACCCATTTATACATTAAAAAATTTGTAATTTACTGAGTGTTCAGAAAAGATCATGAAAGGGACCGTAACTAAAAAAAAATAAAAAAAAAAAAAAGACCAGAAATCACACGTGTGATTCTGATGTCTAGCAACTCCAGCCTAAATGCAGAGACAAAGATTCAGATATTAAGAACCGAAATGGATCTTCACATAACACAGTATCCCTTATTAGAAGAACTTAAGTTACTGACCCGAATAATAATATTTCGTTATTTTCCCAGTTTATTAGTGGGTGAACTAGAAAAGGGTTTCCAGCTCCCAATCTTGTGCTCTTTTCCACTGGACACACAACAGCCCCGTGTCAAGTGTGTGTGTCCGCCCCTCTCCAAACTTCCTTGGCTGTTTCAATGCCTGGAATAAGAAACAAATCCTAAATAGCGTTTAAATGGCCACAGCGCTTCATTCAGGCGTGTAGGGGAAACAATAAATACGTGTTTTCGAGTCCTTTTTGCGGCCTACACCGACCATGAACGAGGGAAGGGAAAGTTGGAGTGCCTGACGCGCGCAGCCGCAGGACGGCGTGGCGTG